TATACGATTATTTTTAATTTAGGCTAATTTAAATGCCATTTTGAAATTATATTCGACTGTATTTCACCAAACATCAGGCGGCATCCGAAGCTGGAAATCGAAGCGAAAATTTTGAAACCCTTATGTATATTTACATCATTTATATAGTTCTTACCCCACCCCCACATGATCCTATATCCATCACCAATCGTATACACATCGAATTGTGCTAATTTACTAAAGTGGATACCAAATAAAATCCGATGCACGTCATAGGTGATGTCATTCATAAAAATCATGGTTACCAACAGTTGACTACATTCAATGTGACATTTCTACTTGAAGTTTAAATTTCCCCGTCTCGATTCTGTTGGTAGTGCCGTGCAGAGAAATGTGAGGTTGCCACTTCTCATTTGTTGACATCAGTTGCCATTGTCCTTTTGTCGTACTATTAGTTCTTTATTGTTTAGTTTGTGAGTTTTGCGCTATTTGAGCTTTGAATCGTTGCCTTGCCAATTTAAAATTGTTCTTTTCAGAACAACAGTTACTGTGAAGTGGTGTTAAGTATCCAAAATGCCAAAACAACTTAACAGTCGGTGTAAAGAGCTCATATCATTGAATATCTACCAAAATCAGGTGTTTTTATTCAGAAATGAATTTAATTTTACAACAAGTTTATTTATTTTTAATATAATGGTATTATAGTAAATGGTAGGTATATATAAACAATTTATTTTATTAAATTTATTTGCTTAAAAGAAAATGTGCAAATTCTGGCAACAGCGCACAGCTCCAGATCGATGACGTGCATCGGGTTTTATTTGGTATCCACTATACAAAGTTACGCAAAGCAGCATCTACTATCTAAAATATTTACTGCGTGACTCTTAATACGTCCCTGCCGAATGTTACAGCGTTCGATGATCACGTGGTCTTGTTTATGTCCGGTCTATCTCTTATGTGAATATACTTTAAGTGACATATAAATCCGAACACCCAGTTTAAATGGTTTTATTTTAACAAAATTTTGTATAAGTACTTAATGAAGAGAGACGCCTTTTTGTGATTGCTCGAAATGCCTAGAGTGCGTAGAAGTCGTCGGGTGTCCCAGCTAGGTGATTTTGAGAGAGGTCGATTTGATGGTAGCAGATCACCACTAATTTTCATCAGAGACTATATGACGCTATATCCAGGAAGTAGTGGAGCCTCACTTTATTCCATACCTGAACACCCATCCAAAACAAGCCAGACCGCATCTTACCAGAGCATCGTTAGCCTTGATGGATCAGCATCCCATCAGCCGTTTACCTTGGCCACCACGATCGCCTGACCTATCTCCAATTGAACATGTCTGGGACATGATAGGTCGCAGGCTGTTGAATCTGCAACACCCTGCACAGACTTTAGCAGCTCTTACTCACGAAGTTGCATTAGCCTGGAATGAGATATCCCACGAATCAAGCTGAAAATTTAATCATTTTACTCGTAAGGGACACTGAACATACATGCCAAAAAATATTAAAATCGGATTTGTCAGTCAGTCTACGTTATGTTTTGCTTTATTGTGAATCGGAGCTTATCGCCTGGCACCCGACGAATCACTTATCAGTTTGTTGACACGGTGCAAGGACGATGCTGATCTTGGTTCTATCTAACATATAGAATCATTTCTTGTACAATCTAGAATTACTCATTTTCAAAGAATAGAACAGTATGGGTGTATAACGTATTTTCATTGAAATTATTAGTCACTTCGAGTAAATACTCATTGATACAAAGAAATCATTTGAATATTTATAACTGATTCACGATGATGATTGTATACTAAGTGACATATAAATCCGAACACCCAGTTTAAATGGTTTTATTTTAATACAAGTTGGTGAATGTATTTATCTTACTGTAAATAACAAGTGAAAAAATTTTCAGTCTTATCAGTTGGACGTTCCGGTTTTTATACTGCTTTTTTTTAATTCACTAACGCTCTAAAAATGAATATTTCAGCCGCAGTAAAGAATCAACGTTGGCGGATTTTGGTTCTTGACATCCTTTACGATCGCTTACGATGCCTAGAGTACGGAGACCTGTACGATTTCGTCAACTTAGTGAGTTTGATAGGGGCCGTATAGTGGGACTTCGGGAAGCTGGACTTTCTTTTCGGGCAATTGCAGTTAGAGTGCAAAGAAGTGTAGACACTGTGGTTAGGTGTTGTCAAGCAAGGCTTCTAGAAGGCCGTACGCAAAGAGCAACAGACCGTGAAGATCGCCGTCTAAGATTATTGGCCTTAAGGGACCGTTTCTCCACTACCAGGTCCATTGCAAATGAATGGTTTGCAGAACACGGAAGACCTATTGGCATGCGAAGTGTTTACCGACGAATGAGAAGTTTTGGCTTGTTTTCATACCGGCCACACTGGGTCCTTTAACTCGAGAACACCGACGTAATCGCCTTGAGTGGTGCAGACAACGGTCACTCTGGGATCAGGAATGGAACAGTATTGTCTTTAGTGACGAGTCTCGATTTTGTTTAGGCAAGCACGATGGTCGTGCCAGGGTTAGAAGGCGACGTGGTGAAAGGAGGAATCCACAGTTTTTTGTTGAAAGACATGTTCATCACACTGTTGGAGTTATGGTTTGGGGTGCTATAGCTTATCGTTCCAGGACACCTTTCCATCTTTTACCCTATCTTGACACCCTGGCAGATCCAACTTTCCAACAAGATAATACCCGACCACATGTTGCAAGAGTCACAATAGGCTTCTTTCAACATAATGATGTAACACTGTTACCATGGCCACCAAGATCTCCCGACTTATCCCCAATTGAGCACGTGTGGGATATGATGGGTAGGAGATTGCTCAATTTGCAACGTCCTCCTCAGACTCTAGAAGCACTTCGAGAGGAGTTGGTGGTTGCCTGGAATGAGATACCACAGGAGGACATTGACCACCTGATCAGAAGCATGCCTAGGCGCGTTGGAGAATGCGTAGCACATCAGGGTGCATCCACACATTATTAAAGGTCAAAGGGCTTTAAAGCAGTGCAATCATTTTGAAATTTTTATCATTTACTTATTATGCTTCATTAAGTACTTATACAAAATTTTATTAAAATAAAACCGTTTAAACTGGGTGTTCGGATTTATATGTCACTTAGTATATTTCAATATAAATTATGTTGAATCTTGTATGTTTGTAATTGATTCATTTAGACAAAACAAATATTATAGAGTGGACAATCTGAGAAAGGTTCAGAACGGCTTAAAGCTCAGTGTCCATAGTCTCCTACAAATTCAAATCCAACATCACTTTTAATTTTTTTAATGAGAGTATGCTTATAAATTTGTTAATATGATTAGACTATCATTCAACATTTTTAAAATGTTTTTGTTTCCTTTTCCACTCTAAATAACTACACACTGCGTTTACGTAAATAATCCCGATAACGGCACCCTCCGTCAAGTCTTTCGACAGCTCACAATGATTTACGTCTCCTAAACTTACCGTGTTGGAAGGTGAAAGCGAAATCCTATCATTAACAATACTAAAAATGGTTCTGTATGCATCTGGTTGTTTTGTTTTTTATGTTACCTGCACGCGGTACATCAAGCACAAGGCTAATGAAAAAAAAAAACAAGAGGTAAAACGAGATGCATTGACCTTAAAACGATGATGATGAATTGGTGCCGAATGGCGAGCGGAAAAAACTGTGTCAGTGAATGTAAGATGTCATGAGAGAAAAAATACATGTGCGTGTAATAAGATCTCTTTAAAATTGCTTATCTGAACAAATTATATGAAAATAAAGAAACAATTTTTGAATAACGTTGATAGGCATAGTGTATTTGTTAATCGTTCAGCGCTAAATAATCAGTCCAGTATGTTGAAAAAGTGAAGCTTTACATCATTTTGATGCGAATTCCATACTAACGGGTGATTTTTAAGAGGTATAGCATTTTGATTTTCAAAAAAAAAACACAAAAATTAAAAAAACGATTAAATCTTTATTTGAGTCGATAGAACGGTCGATATAATTTAATGTTTAAAGATTATTTCATGTAAATGTTGGCCGCGGCTCCGCTTTAGATGGCCCATGCGCAAGGTCCAATTTTGGCACACTCTCTCCAACATATCGGCCGGTATCTCACGAATGAATGCTTCAATATTGGCTTCCAGTGCGTCAATCGTTGCTGGTTTATCCCCGTAGACATTAGCCTTAACATGGCCCTACAAGAAATAGTCCAACGGCGTTAAATCACACGATCTAGGCGGCCAATTGACGGGAACCAAACGAACTCGCCTCTCAATCGGGCCGTTATTTCGTGGGCGGTGTGACATGTGGCACCGTCTTGTTGAGACCACATGTCAGCCAAGTCCAGCTCTTCCATTTTGGGCAAAAAAAAGTTTGTTATCATCGCACGGTAGCGCTCGCCATTCACAGTTACATTCCGGCCATTGTCGTCTTTGATGATGCCACCGGCCCATAATCCACACCAAACAGTGATTTTTTCGGGATGCATTGGTAGCTCTTGCAATACTTCTGGCTGGTCTTCACTCCAGATGCGGCAATTTTGCTTGTTAACGTACCCATTCAACCAGAAATGAGCTTCGTCGCTGAACACAATTTTTCGATAAAAATGTGGATCTTCCTCCAACTTTGCCAGCGCCCATACCATTTTAACAAAGACAATAAAGACACACAAACAAAGATAAAACGTTGACATTGTTGTCACTGAGTATATTATCACACCACACCATATAATCGTAGGAAGACATTTATCAAGAACTCATCTAAATTACATAATATTTTTTTGCAACGGAAAATCTATTCTTTTTAATTCTGACATTGAATGATAGCCTATACAATTACGTAACTCGTATGGGAATATAAAGTTGGCAATTAATTGTTGAACATACACGGACGTAATCAGTGGTATATTTAAATGATACTGACTGAAGATCGAATGTTGCTGTTTTTTATTCTGTTGTGTTTCTGCCTGGAGCTGATTTAATGTTTTTTCAGGTTGGCAGAGAAGTAGCTCATCCCGGTATAGCGAACGACTTCAGCGAAGGTGATGGGGCACAAAAATACTACACCTACTATCAGTGGGTGTGCTTCGTGCTCTTCTTTCAGGTAATTTAATAAACAGCGCGGTTATATTAAATACATTCAAAGCACAGCAAGGAGAATCACAGAGAAATATCTGATACAAGCTCGGATGCTCTAAAACTATAAAGTAAAAAACTGTTTTTATGATGATAATAATAATAGTAATAAAAATAATCGTTATTGCCCAACAGTCTTCAAATTACAGAACATTAATAAATAAGGATTCAATTGAAATCAAATTATTATTAATAATTAAATAAAAAAAAAACGTTAATGGCGTTTGACGTCGAAGCAGAAATACGTTTGACCTCTAGAAGAAGTATAAAGCAGACATAAACATATGTATAATAAAAGTCAATTGCTAGACGTACTATGAAAAGGAAGACCCATTTATATGACTTCTCGATCCAAGTACAAATGACCACAATTCAGTATTTTTGAGATACTGTCAAAAATTTTATCACAAACAGCAAAAATTGTATTAAATTGTTCACATACAGTAAGTACTGGCGACTTTAGAAGCAAACTAGTTATAGCTCTCTCGCAATGGAAGGTTTTGGTATTTCTAGTTGTTAAACTAGCACAAAGTCTAGTTATTATGTGACAGTTTATACAAAATTGTTAAAGAATTACATTTTTGTCTTAGATCTAGACTTTCTAACTCAAATCTAAAAGTAAGATAGTCATTAAGTATGTTCCTAGGAGGATAAGTAATTACCATCAGTCTTGTAAGCAAGCATTTTCAAAAAGCGTCGTTGTACTTTCTCGATTGTCATTTTATGTTTGGAGTAACGGACAAAAGTCAAATACAATGCCGTAAGGGCAATATTAGTCCATTATTGACAACAAAAGACAAAATTGAGTTAAAAACAGCTCCCAGATCATTAATTTTCTGACAACGAGAAAGTGAGCTACTCACTCCTATAGTGTAATCGAAGACAAACGGACTTTTCCTAATGGTAAAACCTACTACGTCACACTTTTTCAATTTAAACTAAGTTTGTTTACTTCACACCATGTGTGAATATTATCCAATTCCATTTGTAAGGTATGACAGTCCGCAATAGATAGGAAAATTTACAAATCGCCAACATTTGAGAGTATCGCACAAGTCGCTTATAAATAATGTAAAAAGCAGTGGGCCAATATTTGATCCCTGCGGTACCCTCGATGTGCAATCTCATTCATAAGAGTCGTAACCACTGTATGAAACAAAATGCCCTCTGTTAGACAGATGTGACTGAAAAATAGCAAAGCTGAACGATCTAAGTCATAATTTTCAAGTTTGTTAATAAGAACTGCATGATTGAACCTGACGAAGGTTTTGAAAAAATCGGCATATACTTGGCCACGTCCGTCAACCATTCAAAAACTTTTTAAGCACACAGAAGGATGATCGAAAGCAATAGGAAATATTAAATTACTATCAATGTCTGTATTACTTCCGACATAGGAGGCTAGGCGAGAGCATTCCCAACTAACAATTATCACTCCTATTAGAGTTGCAAGAATGATTATACAGTATTCCTTAAATAGCATTGTATACTGTAAGAACATTGGCAAAACCCTCTTAGAACAGCTATACAAGCGAAATGGGCACACCTAATAGGACACTTCAGTCATTTAAGAGGTTGTATAAGGGCTGCAGGTAACAGTTATAAAACAAAAGTGTAAGCCTCTTGCAGCCGCTATAGGACATTTGCGTCAGTGTAAGATTCAGTTTTTGTCAACTATACAACTATTCTGTTACGTGATTCTACTTTATTGCAACCAAACTATTTCTTATGTATTGTATAGACGAAGTGAAGAATATATAACTAACACATTACAGTCATCTTGTTTACTTACATATCGGCCATTGTGAATTTCATACACAGGTATATGATAAACTTCTACACTGTGATATAGGGCTTCGTATTTGATTCAATGATCAAAAGTATGTCTAGATTTTGAAGATGGAAAACTGAACCTATCTGCGTTATATTTTCCTCAAATCCTATATTTAGACACAATTACACTAATGTTTATCTCTTTATATCTGTAATTTCGAACTGAAACATAATTATTTAATATTAAATAGAGGAATAAATGTTTGCCCAATATGGCGGGTGGTTGTGTACAATCATGGCATCGTCCATGTTGTCTTTAGGTTATTAGAATATTTTGGTGTTGCCTGCAGGTGTTATACAACAATTTGACAAATGTCTGAAATGAAATACCGACAGAGTCGAATGATCTACCCAGAATTTGTACCAGATCGATATCTTCTGTTTGAACAGTTGATAAAACATTTTGAACCAATATGCATGCGTTGTTTGTCTTAAAACATTGGTTATCGCATTTTAACAAAAATATGACAGCAGAAAATTAGGTTATGGTGAAGTTATTTAGCATATGTACAGCCTTTAACAGTTACTAAACAACAGTTGGATAAGTGCTTCCGTTGGGAGCAATTTTTTGGCTAAAGTAGTAACTTGCACAGCAAAACAACAAGGCTCGGGTTTGTTTTATAAACGTTACCGTGGATGCCACAACACAACCATTTTGACTAACGTGCAAATGTGCCGTATAAAATAGTTGTATAAATGTTTATGCAACAGTTAAAAATTTGCCCTATAAGATGTTGTGTAACTATGCTATAAGAATATTTTGCAGAAAGCAAATTTGCATTCCACACAACATTAAGCCAGCATTTTGGTGTTCAGGCAACAACAATAGAGAGCTTTTATGGCTGAACGGTTCTTTTAGCAAAAGCTTATACCACTACTTTGCTAGTTGGGTTATGGTAATTGCGCGAAATCTTGTGCTTAAGATAGGCATCATATCCTTTCCTCGCATTTTTTTTCAAATATATTGTATGCGGGTACATTTATCTTGCAAACTCTAATGCTATGTGGTCTGGTATCTTCTCCTATACTTCTCCCAAAAGTCATGCAATCAGAAAATCGATTGGCTTTGGAGTTATCGCCATCTTTAAGAATTGCTTCTTTTAAGCCTGTACTGTTTTGTCTGAAGTTGTTTTTTGTTATTTTTCAATCAGATTTAGAGGATTGTTCCCAAATGACGAGCCGCTGGGAGAAGCTATGAGTGAACATTTAGTCCAGTTAATGTAGGCACAGTAATCGTCTAACCTGCAATTTTATCTGTCGTTAAAAATGTTACAGCATATTCAACGAAGGCTGCATAAAAATTAGTAGGCGGATAAAATTTCCATGGTGGCGAAAAACTTATCGACACTGTGGCCTTTCAAAATACCTATTAGTAATCAAATATACTAAATAGTTTCTGGGCAAAGTATACAAAATGCTTCAGGTTCCCTAATCCTTTAGCTACCATTGTTGATCTTCTTCATTCATTCTTTGTGTCCATATTAGGCTACCTTTACATGAGGTGTTCGAGGTGTCTTCCTTCTGCTCTAGTGCAAGCACTACATAGTAGAAAATTTCAATCAATTCTGTAGTTTTTGAGACTACGTCGTTACACATGAGCTTTACAGATCGATCTAGATACAATACTCCCTTCTGGCGCGAAAAGCGAGCCGTACCATTATTTCAGCAACGTCTAAAAGTTCGGAAAAGTGTCTTACAATTTGGTATCATGATATATATTTCTTTTAATGATTATCTTCTTCGATACGTTACCCACAACCAACACAACAATCGAATAATTCTAGCTCAACTTTCTCAAAACATCCTGTACACAGTACGTAATGCTTGAACGGCTACGTTAAGCTGTAAAGGAAATGAAGCAAGGCATTGTCCACTAAAACCACTATTTTTTCCACAATTCTTTCAATTCAATGAGTCATTGTAATATTTCAAAACGGTCACGCCGAAAACAGATTTTCGGTTTTTGATAAGAATCTCATTGTTCATTGTCTTCAGGACCAGAACATCACTATATTTCTTTTATTTCCGTTTCGTGACTTACGATACAGTCTGCAATATATTTCATTAAAATGTGTCAAGTTGGTTGACTCTGCAATGCTCAATGCTTTATTCCAATTTTCTAAAAATTCACACATCTTTAAACATCTCTATGACCTGTCCAAATTTGATATTACTTTGGGCACATACTTAACTACGAACTTTTGGGCAGACGTTTTTTTAAATATAGCATTTTTACAGTAGCTTATGTGCTTCATACTACTTTGAACAATTCGTGAATCTTTTTAAAACGGTATTAAATTTATCAGCCTCAACGCTACGTATCTAATGTATTGTTGACCTACAATGTATTTTTTGCAGGCACTTGCTTGCCATGCACCGAAGGTCCTATGGGACCTGTTCGAGAATAACCTGATGAGGACGTTAGTGATGGGACTCAACATTGGAGTGTGCCATGAAAATGAGAAGAATAAGAAGAAAGAAATTATTCTAGGATATCTGATGCGTCATGTTAAGGTAAGCAAAATTTTGGGCCGTTTGGTTTCTTTGATAAATTTTAGAGGACATTGCAAAGTACTAATAGAAAATATTTATTCTCGAATAAAGCCAGGAAAAATAAAAGTGATTTTCAGATAAATCTGGTAGGTGGAACGAATGATCTTATAATTTTAAGGTCTACCTAGTAAATTCTGTTTTTTTTTAAGTAAGTGAGGTTTGACCACGTACATAATGTATTATACATTTTTGGAACCAGAATTTGAAACTATTATATACAGGGTGTCCCAGAAGTCGACGTCAAGCCGAAACCGGGTGATAGGCAAAGTCATAACAGCTATCAGAAAAATATTTAAACAAATTTTATGTATGTGTTTTGAAAATTATAGGTCTTTGAAAAAAATATAGAAATTTCACACCCTACGGCAGTCTGTCAACTCCTGTTACTACAAATATTAACTTTTTTTGGATTTTATTTTTACAATGTAATGATGAATAATGCATCTTCAAACTGGTGTCTCAACCTTACTGCCAACTTTTCTCGTTCAGGAAAAACTGCCACTTATTTCCCAACCAAGTATTCCAAAGTAAAACTTTGCTCAACTTTAACTGGCTGTACTGGAAAAAAATGTACTACGAGAGTTTGGCAAGTAACCTTAAAAGTTGGCGCATTTAATAACGATTCCAAAATGGTATAACACTTAGAAGATTACTCGTTACCTTATGCACAATTTTTATTTGAAGAAAAACTGATGAAAATTTTTCAAAATTTCCTAATTAAACAGCGATTATGAAAACGCACAAGGACCCTTAAGGATAACTGGTTGCACAACAGTGGGCGTCAAAATGCTGCTGATGATGATTTACCTTTACAGCAAATGCTCAAACTGTTTTCCTTCAGCCGCAATACACGCTCGACATCTTCTCAAAAAAGGATCGGGTTATTAAACGAGCGAATCCACGGTTATTAGCAAACTCAGCTGCTGCCAATAGTCTTTGCCGTAGCTCAGCTACATTTTGAATCGGCTTGAAATACACTTTTTCCTTTACAGTTCTCCAGTAAAAAAAATCTAACGGATTCAAATCTGGTGACCGGGCTGGCCACGGTATTGTACCAGACCGCCCTATCCACCTGCCTGGAAAGTTTTGATCGAGATACTCTCTCACTGAGAGTGCATAGTGCGCTGTGCAGCCATCATGCTGAAACCACATGTCCCTGTAAATACTCAGTGGCACGTCCTCCAATAAATTTTCTAAATGATTTTGCAAAAAACCTAAATAAACCTCAGCAGTCAAAGTCTCTGGGAACTCAAACGGACCGATTATTTTACCATTTAAAATTCCTGTCCAATGGTTTATCTTGAAGCTATATTGAGATTTATCTTCTCTCATCAAATGTGGGTTTGCTACATGCCACTTGTGTAAGTTATGCAGGTTCATGTACCCATCTTTCTTAAATGTGGTCTCATCTGACCATAAAATTTTTTCAAAGAACCGTGGATTTTCCCTGTGTCTTTCTAACATTGTGCGACAAAAAGCAACTCGGGGCTCATAATCCCGGGGCAGAAGAGCTTGAACACGCTGTACGTGGTATGGATGGAGCACGTTTTTTTGCAAGATTCTATGGGCTGTACTTTTGGGCACACCTGTTTTTAGTTCTATTGCACGCACTGAAGTACTCGGGTCTTCGTTGACAGCTCCTAGCACCACGTCTTCGTAAGGAAGGAAAGATCTTCCCTCACCGTGTGATTGGTTTGGTAGTTGGCCCTCTGAGAACAGTAAGCGGTGCACCTTTGTGAACACTCGATGATCTGGATGACGAGCTGCATTCTGGTACCTCTCACAGTAAAGTCTCGCTGCAGCACTAGCGTTGCATCTGCATTCCCCATAAATGAGGTGCATGTTAGCATATTCTTGTACGGTGTACACGGACGTAGCGGCACTGCACAATCACACTATCAAAGATAGTCTAAGGAAAGCAAATGTTGTTTTGAAGAGCAATTAAACAGTCCAAATCCAAATCACAAGCGATCAACAGTCCAGTTCACGAATCCAAAATTAGTAACAGTACGAAATCAACAAGCACGAACATGTAAAGATGCGCAGTAAACGAAGGAGTACTGATCGGTATCAAAGTGTGCAATAGCAAGTAAGTGATGTGCTTCATCCATACCACATACAGCGTGTTCAACCTCTCCTGCCCCGTGATTATGAGCCCCGAGTTGCTTTTTGTCGCACAATGTTAAAAAGACACAGGAAAGATCCACAGTTCTTTGAAAAAATTTTATGGTCGGATGAGACCACATTTAAGAAAGATGGGTACATGAACCTGCATAACTTACACGAGTGGCAGGTGGCAAATCCACATTTGATGAGAGAAGATAAATCTCAATATCGCTTCAAGATAAACCATTAGACAGGAATTTTAAATGATAAAATAATCTGTCCGATTTTTGAAGAATCATGTACAAAATTTATTGGTGGACGTGCCACTGAGTATTTACAGGGACATGTGGTTTCAGCATGATGGCTGCCCAGCGCACTATGCACTCTCAGTGAGAGAGTATCTCGATCAAAACTTTCCAGGCAGATGGATAAGGCGGTCTGGTACAATACCGTGGCCAGCCCGATCACCTGATTTGAATCCTTTAGATTTTTTTACTGGGGAACTGTAAAAGAAAAAGTGTATTTCAAGCCGATTCAAAATGTAGTTGAGCTACGGCAAAGACTATTGGAAGCAGCTGAGTTTGTTAATAACCGTGGATTCGTTCGTTTAATAGCCCGGTCTTTTTAAGAAGATGTCGAGCGCGTATTGCGGCTGAAGGAAAACAGTTTGAGCATTTGCTGTAAAGGTAAATCATCATCAGCAGCATTTTGACGTCCACTGTTGTGCAACCAGTTATCCTTAAGGGTCCTTGTGCGTTTTCATAATCGCTGTTTAATTAGGAAATTTTGAAAAATTTTCATCAGTTTTTTTTCAAATATAAATTGTGCATAAGTTAACGAGTAATCTTCTAAGTGTTATACCATTTTGGAATCGTTATTAAATGCGCCAACTTTTAAGGTTACTTGCCAAACTCTCGTAGTACATTTTTTTCCAGTACAGCCAGTTAAAGTTGAGCAAAGTTTTACTTTGGAATACTTGGTTGGGAAATAAGTGGCAATTTTTCCTGAACGAGAAAAGTTGGCAGTAAGGTTGAGACACCAGTTTGAAGATGCATTATTCATCATTACATTGTAAAAATATAATCCAAAAAAAGTTAATATTTGTAGTAACAGGAGTTGACAGACTGCCGTAGGGTGTGAAATTTCTATATCTTTTTCAAAGTCCTATAATTTTCAAAACACATACATAAAATTTTTTTAAATATTTTTCTGATAGCTGTTATGACTTTGCCTATCACCCGGTTTCGGCTTGACGTCGACTTCTGAGACACCCTGTGTGTGTGTATATATATATATATATATATATATATATATATATATATATACGTGAGTAGTAGTCATTGCCAAAGCCAACGACCAGTTGGGACAAAATACAATTAATTGTTAATTGGGAAATTGGCAAATCTCTTAGGCTTAAGTTGACTCTTTTGACGATAAAATCAAGCTTTCGGCATTCTATATGGAGCCTTCATCAGGATTCTGAAAACACAATTGTGATGCTAGCAAAGAAAACAGGACAGATTTAATTTGTCAGACAACTTACTCGTCGGTGAGGTTGCAACCACAAGGTGTTTCAAAACGAACGTAGAGAAGATCCAACTTATAATCAGTATAAAAACAAAAGGACGGGGACATTGGGCTTGTTGAAAAAGGACAGATACCTTCGTTAAATGTTAAAAATATCAATCCCCCGAACAAGTTAAAAATATTACACGTGAGACGACATTTTGTTGAATAATAAATAATATATATATATATATATATTATATCTATGCTAGGGACAAGAGACCAAACGTCAGATAGGGGAAAAAGGGGCAATGTTGATATGCAATTTATTTTGAAATTCCAGTACAAATAAAGTCAGGAAAAAATTAAAATGATTTTGGGAAATTTCGTTTGTTCCGTCACTCTCCGGAAATTTTAAAATTTTCTAAGCGGTTCATTATCTAAATACGCAACTTTGCTCCATTTAAGCGACTTGGTATCTCTTACAGTTTCCGAGATCTCGATGGTGAGGGTCGAATTTTAAGCACCCTGTATAGTTACGCAATGTAAATTTGCAAATTTGACCGAAGGCGTGGGAAGTATAGCGTCAACCTACTTGGCGCCATTTTTTGTTAAGGATCCATATTTCAATTGAAAATATGAACGAAAAGATATTTAAAGTAGCAACTGACGTAGGCAGAAGTAACTATTATTCACTCAAGTATTGTATTGATGTTTCACGTGCATGTAGGAGCGCAAAGTCCAATAAAGCAAATTGCCGACTTCCTTATTTTTCCTCGTTGCATAGATTAATACCTTAGAGGTTGCCGCTTTTTGCTTGATGAATTTTCTGTAGGTAAAGACAAGATGACATCAGCTTAAAAGGTTGTTGAATCTGGCAATTACGCGTAGGCTGCCCAAGTGTGCCAAACCGTCAAAAAATTACTTATTGAAAATAAAATATTTTTGATATGAATGTCTGCGAAAAAAGTATACCGAAAAAAAATTCCGGAAGGTTGACTGTGCACTTCCCACGTCACGCTGTCAATTCATAAACGATTGTGTGCGGCACTAGTTAGCCCCTGTTGTATATGCAGGGTGATTCACAACACTCAAAAATGGAAAGAAGAAACTTTTGGCTTGACTTGAAAAAAATGGTAGTAATAACGATAACAATTGTATAACACATAATTTTGACAAACTATCTCCCAAGAAACGTTAAGTAGACATCAATGCCTCCTATTTTATTTTGAAACTAACTTTGTAGAAAATTGAAGGTAACATTCGAGAATTTGCGCGTTTCGAAAAAAAAAAACATTGTCGTACTAATGTTATTTGGAAAAATAATGCCACTAATCCCCTGTATCTCC